CATGATTCCAGTTCCCAAGAAAGTGAATACACCTAGGCTCAGAATCTGGCACCCTTTGCTTCATCTGCAAACTTTGCTAACTTGGTTCAAAGACTGTAGAGTCGCTTCAGGATCAGGGACTGGACCTGTAGTGTCCATAAACACTGAATTTCCAAACTCCATGCTGAACCTGAGTCCTTAGGCAAGGTAATATACTTGGCTAAGTATAATATATTTAATATACTTCTTCTCTGACTCCTCATCCAGGGCACGCATGATGCTTAACTCCTGATAATGAGTGCCCTAGGAAAGTATGGCTTTATCCACAACACAGGGAGGGGATATGGTGACTTTCATGTTCCACATAAACTGAAATGCACTTCAGGTACTCATAATATTCAGCAGCTACCCACCTGAAAAATGTAGTATAAATCTTATATAGGTTTAATATAATTGAAAGAAATAAAGAAATCTCCCTCAAAACAAGAGGAAAATTTTACCTATTTTGCTTCTTTGTCATACTCACCACAGCTCTCAATTTTTCAGAAAATACTGAATGCAGCTCCTGGCCTCCAAAAGGTTGCCCACTCCTGCTATAAAATAGATTCTTTTGAGTCCATGCTGGGGCTTTTTTGACAACAGTATAGAACTGTATCCCATTTCTTTCTCCTGGTGATATTACTTCTCAGGGTCTATAGCCCTTGGGTGTCCTAGTGGTCTCTCATCCAAGTACTACCTAGGTTTAATTAGTTTCTTGAGATCAGTGGAAAACCTTTGAATTATCATCTCAGGAAAGTCACTGCTTTTTAAAGAGTTGCAGACAAGCACTACATTCACATTGGAACTTAAATTTCAACTTGTACTAAAGCATAGTACAGCCCTAATACTTCCCATCCACACTGGATTTCTTCAATGTGTGAATGCTGTAAAGCAGAGAAACTATTTACTTATTCCTGTGGCTTTATTCATGTGTAATCTCTTGAAATCTATAGGAAGCCTTCTATCTGTAGCCTTCTGTCTTCCATCATTTGCACATAGAGGCAAAACTCCAGAGGAACAAACCCTTTTCTTCTCATGGAAAGCAGTTACTATTCTTAATTTCCAAAAAATGATTTAACTCAGATGTATGCATATGTTTTGGTCATAAAGCCAACTGGGCAGTTTTGATGCCAAAAGAAGAGATTGAGAGAGGCAGTGAGAAAGTCTGAAGTGGTAAAATATTTTGCATTTTTTGCCAGACATTTACTTTAGAGCCTAGTTTACATACTTTTAAAACAGCTTCCCCAATCTGGCATCCTCCAGATGTTTTGGGAATATAACTCCCTAGACTCCCAGTCAACAAACCTTCAGTCCCAACACATCTGGGGGGACCCAGATTGGGGAAGGCTGCTTTACAACATTAGCTAGCAACTTCCTTCAACTGATTAAGAAGGAACCTCTCATGTTGTGTATGCACAAATATGCAGATCAATGAAGTATGGCACATTCCATTTTTCACTTTGCAGAGCAGATTTATGTCCTGGCCTTGAGAATGCCATATAATCACAGTGGATGGGCTCAGTTTTAGAGCCCTGTACTACCAAATTGCTTTATCAATAGGCAAACTCTAAAAAGGGGGGACTTTGCTATAAGTGCTATTGGTAACAAATATGGCCAAATTTAAGGAGAAAAAACACATTTGAGTGTACAACAAAATAGAAAGAGGAAATAAGTCTGAAGCTAAAAGGGAATTGAGAGCTCTGGTGGGAATCCAAGAATATGGTCATTCCCACAAATACTGTGTGTACTCAGAGATCTTAATATGTCATCACATCTGCCATGGAAAACTAAAATTAAAACTGTGAAGCTATGAACAAAGCAGCTGGAAGTGAAGTTTCTGCTCTGCTCAAGGGGCAACAGCTGTATTTTGTGAGCAAGTAACCTGACACAGTTCATGGTCAGTATAATTCAGAAATAATTGCACATTAATAAGCTAGGTTCTCCTTCCTCCCTACTGGTTTCATGCCCCTGCAATTGCCACTCAAATTAGCAAGCAATCATTTTGCAATTCACATTATGCAATATTTTCCTTTGGGAGAAAACAATATAGTTTAAAGATGAGGGTAAATCAGATATGTCGCAAAATGACACTATTATTCCACTCTACGAAGGGATTCTAAATTGTATGCCTGCAAGTATGACTTGGGTGTCGTAGGGGGTTATTTACTTTCCTTTGTAAGACTGGATTCATCAGGTTGCAACATAGGGGATGGTAACCAATGACCTGCAGGCCATATGGATCACCAGCCTCTTTTATGCAGCCCCAGAACTCTTGCACATTCACTCACACACTCACACCCATAGATAGCAGGGCTTTCAAAATTAGGAAGCAAAATGTCAGAATTCAGCAATTCTTCCTTCTTTTATTAACAGAAATAAAAAGCAAAATCAGTGTGCAGCCTTGCCTAAACCTTCCCCTGAAAGATGAGCTAATACTACATATGGCCGTAGAAACTTAGTTTTGGATGTTAAAGTCCATTGTAATAATGTGGTTTTGGATTAATCTCTCTTTCAAAGGTCCTGCCTGAATTGGGAAGAAAGTTATTCTCAGCTACACAGTAAGAGAATTCCAGATTGTCTGAAAACACATTTCTCTGATCACAGGTGGGATAATTACCCAAGAACAAGTAGCTTGAACCTAGTGAAATAGAAATTCCTGACTACTAAGAAGCATTGTTTCTGATGAATGGGTTTACGTTTTTTTGTTTCTTTTCAATTAATGGTTAAAAAATTATTGAATTCTTGATAAAGTAAATAACCAGAGAAACAAAAACTCTTCATTCAATATTTGAAGTGAGACTTTGCTATTCCTAGAGAGTAAAGGAGGAATAAGAAATCTGCCATGAACTCCTATGGAAAAAAAATTCTGCCATCTAGCAAAATGGGTACAGAGAACTGCAATGAACAGAATCCTAACCTGTTCTTCTCAGGTCAAAAATCCATGCACACACAAAAACCATTTGTTTGTGAGAGACACATCAGAAAAGCCTATATGTTTCTGAAAGTTCCATTCAAAAAGTGGTAATTTCTCCAGCTACAAAGAGGGGGATTTTATGTTCCCTGGCTGGGAAATTTACATAAAAAAGATTTCTCAGTGAATCCTCATTAATAATTAAATGCATTTTGGAAAACTGTATAAAAATTCCTTATATATGAGGAAATACATGATGAGAAATGAAAATGGCTGCATTGGCACTATAAGCATTTATATTGAGGTCTGTATTAGAGAGGCCTTTAGTATAATCCAGCAAAGCTTTTCTTATGGTTTTATGCTCTTATATTTATACTGTTGTTAGTCGTTACTTCTCTTTTGTCATGAAGGAGGAAAGGAGAATTCTTTAGTTAGATCAAAGTTGACCGAGGTGTATCTCTATCCTTTAGTCCTGATGGTTTGGGAAATTCTTTTAGAAAATTCTTCCAGCCTAATCCAGACCCAAGACACCAAAATGCTTACATCAAAACTGACTTTTAACAGGTTTATGGATTGAGCTGATAAAGAATCATTGATTTTTTTACATACTGTTCTGTTTTCAAAGGAGAGACTCCCTTTTAAAACAAATGCCTGAAAAAAATTCCATAATCTGGTTTAATGAAATGCTATCCTAAACACCCAACTCTAACGTATTAAGTGTGAACACTCTCTTATACAAACATGCATGCAGATAGCTAATGTGGGAGTTGTCCTACTGATTGTGTTCGTATGAAGAAGTTTTCTGGCAGGTGCTGGCTCTGTGAATCAATTCACTGTGCAGACATCAGCTGAAGTAAGTCTATTTTTTGACTCAAATGGTAAACTGGGGAATTGTCTAAGTGAACATACTTTTTTCTTTTACTTTTATGTTGCTTAATAAAAGAAGAACAAAAGAAGTTCTCTTATCTCATACCACACCTAAAACAAACATTTCCACGTTTAAAAACTAAGCATCCCAGAGCAAAATTTAGGGCCTTACCAGATGTGGTATGAAAAGCAAACTGAGGAACTCCCCTGTCCCACCAATCAAATGAAAGCTTTGCTGGTTATTTTCCATTGTAGTTTCTCATCCTGTGATGATATCAGAAGCTTTAGGAGTAAACTGCTACCTCATGCAATGGAAAATGCCCAGTGAAGTCAACAACTGGTCCGAAGGGGATTCAGTGAACATCCATGGAGGGTTTAAAACTGCATCTGAAAATGCCTTTAGATTAGAGAAAAAGCACCATACTGGAATAGCTTCTAAAAGCCGTAAAGATTTCCATCTATGATAGCCAACGGCTTACTCTGCCATGGAATTTTGAGAGTTGTACGCCCAACACACTGACATTACCAGATTGGAGAAGGCCACTGCATGGAGGTTAAGCTTTAGATGCATCTTAATTTGTTCCCCCAATTTTATATCTTTCTGCATCCAAATAAGAAATCTCAATCCTTGCTTTCTAATCACAGTGTAGCTGAAATAGGGTAACAGGTACATAATTCCAAAGGAAGTTTCACCTGGAATGGACAAGAAGAAACAATTAAAAGGTCAAAGTCATGTAATGTCAATGACATATTAAGTTCATATTATACTACTTGAAGTTTGGTTCTTAACTCCAGAATTGTTGAACATAAACAATAGCTGATAAAATGTCACATATTTGCTTACTCAGTGAGGGCAGCTGAACATTTTCTTCATACCCATAACTGTAGTTTAACAAGGAAATTAGAACAGCCATTCAGCATTCCCAGGAGAAAAAGGAGAAAAAGCAGAGATATACAGTACAATTGTGGCCAACTGATGAGCAGATAAATTCACAGTGAAGTTGGAGGAAGGGCAATCTGTCTGAGTAGTAACATTTTTAAGAGTTCAGTAGAAGTGTCTTTAAATAGAAATGATGACAACTATTCTTAATTTGTCCCAGATGCTGCCAATCACTTTCACAGAGGTCAATCCAGGGGTAGCTTAATATAATATAGATCTCACCAAGAATTCTTTTATGTGTGGGTGCTCCTGAGAGAAGGGTGACGATGATGTCCAGATGGATCTTTTGGAGCAGGAAGCTTGTGAACTGCAGTCTGCAGTGAGACCTCTAGTGTTTTTCTTCTTCCACATCCTGGCAGAGTTCCTGTAAAGTATAAACACACACAGAGCTTCTATTGTTTGCAGCCCTTCACGAGCCCCACTGATCCTAATATGGAATTCAGCAGGAAACCCATGATTTCCTGACATGTAGCAAACTGGAGAAAATAAAGAGATTGCATGAAATAAAAAGAACAAGAGACCGAGTCCCTCCATCAAATTGTTCCAGTTTCCACTTTCTCTTTGGAAATGCAATGGAAAATGGAATGGATTTAGCACGAATCCCTGATTTTTCAGGCCAGACCGGAGCAGAGAAACAGACATTCAGCTCCTCAGATTGCTGCTATTTTTAAGCCGTGTGAAATACCACAATCCCTGTATCCAAGATGAAGATTTCCTGACTTGAACTAACGACACGCGTGTCGATTGTCTATTTATTCCCTCACATGGTTCTCTGAGGCTTGAAAAGATCAAGTGTGCAAAATGAAGTTATGATTTCATGTTTGTCTACCATGCAGCAACAACAATAGCAACGAAAAAACTCATCGAAGAAGAAACCTGCCATCAACAACTGCAATCCTCCTTTGGGCTCTGTGTTCTTTTGTGTGTGATTGCAAAAGCTGGAAGGAAAAAAGAAAAGCAGGAACAACCAGGATGAGTGGCAAAGAGGAAGAGCCCAGCTATTCGGATGGTAGCGTAAAGAAGATGCTCAAGTGTGTCGTGGTTGGTGATGGAGCTGTTGGCAAGACCTGTCTGCTGATGAGTTATGCCAACGATGCATTTCCAGAAGAATATGTACCAACAGTGTTTGACCACTATGCAGGTAAGAAAAACTCACCCTACTTTCTTATAAATATGTAACAGAAGTGTACAAATGCTAACCTGTTTCCTCCCCCAGGTACACACATTTATATACATTCAGAGACCCTATCAAAACTAAGTATGCCTTACACAGTGATAGTAGACTGAGGAGCTTGAATTCCTGAGGGGCATAACTGTGAAGCCTCCCCTCTGAAAAGAAGTCTTATGTGTAATAAATTAGCAGACCAAGGCTTTACGACCCCATGAAATACTGATTTGAAGACAGGTAAAGATAAAATTTGGAAGGGGAGACAATTCTAAAATACCACCATTCTTATCTAATGGTAATGGCTGGCTCTAAAATTCTACATTAGTGATAACTATTTTTTTCCTCTTCTACCATCTGAAGAGGTGACCCCAGCCTAGGGTTGTCTAAGACATGAAGAAGTCCAGCCTAGCTCCAGAGGATGGTTGCCATGGTGATGGAAAGTCTCTCTCTCCCCCCACACTCCCCACCTTCCCCACCAGACTAATTAGTGTTCTGTTTGGTCTAAAAGTCCATTTGTCTCTTGCCTGGTTCAGAGCCAGTATGCCAGTCCTACACCAATGCCCTCCCAATAAGACGAGCTGTCTTCAGACATCATGCAATGATTTTATTTATTTACTTATTTATATTTCCAATCCACCTGGTATCAGGGGTCCTGGCATATCACAAAGCTGTTATTAAAAAACAGTACCAACAGAGTGTGTATGTGTACCTGTGTGTCTGTGCACACACACATATATATGTCACAAATCCAAATGTATCTCAGAGACAGTTTTGCCACCTCTTTGAGAACTAGATTTAAAGGAAGCATGGCTATTTGTTTCATCCAAAATTAAGATTAAAGATGTGGTGTCATTTTGCATAATCTTTGCATATACTTATTAATGAGTATGCATAGAAAAATAGATCTTGCTGCTAGGACTGAAACAGAAATACAACCTATTTCTTCATAGGAGGGAAATCTACAACTGTGATTGCCTGTTGCTCAGTCTGGTATTTTCCTTGTTCATGCTTTAAACAACCCTTGAAACAAAGGAAGGCTTCGGGGTATTGTCCCCTGTAAGGCTGGAAACTCATCCACCCTACTGGGGAGCTATATTCTATTCCAAAGCTCAAATTGTATATTAATCAGAATCAATTACTTATAACCTAACTGGAATGCTCCTGATTCCAATCCACTATAAAACATTAAAAAAAACCCATTACCCAAGGAGTAGCCAAGGTATCTTGGACTTCCCCTGAAAACTTAGTTCAGAGAAAAGATCTGATTTTCAGCATATGAATCATTTTCCACAAGGATAGAGAAAGAATTATTTAATAAAGAGTGGGTTGGTGAGTGGGCATTAGAGATTTCAGAGGTTGCTGGGAACTAAAGTGCTGGCCAGTTTTGAATTAAATCTGATTTGAAGGGTAAATTCACTGACCTTGATTTTTTTGTCTGGGCTGTATTTTTAATAGGTGGGCAGTTGTTTTGAGAGATAAAGGAATAAAACTAGGGTAGGAAATTGAAGATTTTCCTGAAATTATTGAACTGCAGTTTTCTAGATGGGACTTAGATGAATTGTCAGAACTGTTATTATTTGTAAGCCATGGTTTTATGGCTAAATGTATTGTGCAAACCAAGCCAATTAGAGCTTATTCAATAAACCATGGTTAATCAAACCATAGCCTATCACAATATGTGACTTTAGTCAAGCTCTTTTAGCCTAATCTACTTCCAAGGATTGTTGGGAGAATACAGAGAATTCAGGAACAAAGAAGGAATACTGCTCTGAGCTTTTTGAGGGAAGAATGGAATAGAAAGGTCATTATAAATTAGCAGTTGTGATTAGAAATTAGATTTGCTTAAATGGATAAATAATTTTGCAGCTGCTCACATAAACAATTTACATAGATAAATATAACCAAAAATAATCTCATTACTATCATTAAATTTAAGAGAGCAATCTAAACAAATTGTGCAGTCCTACAACTCAGATTAAGCAATATAAAATCTTTTCACAAATAAAACTCAGCACCTCATGTCAATTAGAAACAAGAGTCAAGTAGAAAGTTTTCTTAAATACAAACCAGTATTGTACCAGTATTTCACTTAGGGTGGAGCTACCACTGAACCTTTTGCTCTCTCCAAAAAGGATCAAAAACAGCACAACTTTCTAAAACCAGCAAAAAAGAGTTGTGGCCTCTTCATGGAAGTTCTTTTACAAATGTCCCTGTGAAATAAGCAGGTGCCTCAAAGAATTGCCATTATCACAAAGGAAAAGGTAACTTGTACCTGTAAAAGCCAATTTTATAATGCCACCAAGGGATAATGATGATAAATGGGAACTTGGCCAACCATACATTTGGGAGCATTATTAATTGTGCTTCTTTCAGCCATGCTAAAAATTACAGATTAGCAGATCCTTCTTGGTTCATTCCACTCTAGGTTCACAAGCATTACCATCTTTTGCATTCCATAGTCCAGAAAGAGTGACACAATTACATTGTCCAGTTCCCAACTTGATTTCTGAATTCACAATATAGTTTACAAGAATGATTTCTCTGGTGGAAACTGCATATCTCACAGAAGTACTATCATCAGTAAAACTTTGCACTTTGGGGGCAATATCATGGAACTTGTTGCCTGCTGATATAGTTATACCAATTAAAACCTATCCCTAGTGGGGATACATCTATTCTGTAGCTTTGACATATTTATTTTTTTAAACTTACTATTCCCTTATATCAAGATCAGTGCAAAGCCTATTTTTCCACCACAACAACCCCATGAGGTGGGCTAATCTGAGAGAGAGTGACTGGCCCAAAGTCTCCCATCTTCCATGGCTGAGACTAGAATTGATTGATTGATTGATTGAATTTATATGGCTGCCCATCTCACACAAGGTGACTCTGGAAGGCATACAAAAAAACCAATAATTAAAACATATTATAAAACCACTTAAAACACTTAAATAATTAAACATAAATAAAAACAAGGTTGCAAGAGGTTTAAAATCAGAATGTTATACCTGGTATATGCATGGGCTCCCTGCTGCCAGGGGATCCCCAAGCCTGATGAAAAAAAGGTGTTTTGAGGGCTGTCCGGAAGGCCATAAAGGTTGGGGTCAACCTCACCTCAGGAGGGATGATGTTACAGAGGGCGGGGACCATGGCAGGAAAGGCTCATCTCCTAGGTCCCATCAGATGAAACTGCCCATGCCAGATCTGATGGGATGGGTAGATGTAATCTGGGAAAGGTGGTCCCTCAGATAACCTGGCCCCATGTCATGTAGGGGTTTAAAGGTCAAAAACAGCATCTTGAATTGCACCCAGAAGCAAACCAGCAACCAGTGCAGCTCACAGAGCAGAAGTGTAATATGTGTCCTCCTAGGGACACACATAACTGCCCGTGCCGCTGCATTTTGCACCAGCTGAAGCTTCCAGATATTCTTCAAGGGCAGCCCGACGTAGAGTGTGTTACAGTAATTCATTCAGGAGGTGACCACGAGTGTGAGAATCTAAGCCTTCACACTCTCAGTCCAATACTTTAACCACTACTCCACACTGGTTCTCATAATGAAGCATAAGTATTGTTACTATAGTATTAGGGCTATGCAAGCTTCAAAACTAATTTGAAAGAAGTGTTTAGGATCTCACATGAGCACACTATCTTTTCTATTATTCATTAAGCAGGCTGACATTGTCTTGCCTTAATAGTAGCATAAAGAGGCACTATGCATGTGCCACATAAGAGAGATTCAAAATGCTTCTTCTGAATTATTTTCAAAGTCTATACATCCGAAAGTGGCATGGTCCCAAGAATGCATATGACACTGTATAGACTGCATAAGGAAAATTTTAAAAAACTCTCTGACTTTGAGGACCTTACAATATTTGCTGACCATGTGGAACAGTGATGAGGAAGAATTAAAGTTAAGAATTGAGGATTCAGATGCATGCAGATAAAGCTTCATGTACCCTGAATGGCTAACAGGTAGGACAAAGGATTAAGGGTTTAAGACGTCCTCAGATTGGTGCCCTCCAAAAATACTGGAATTTAATTCCAAGGGTGTTGGCCATATTGGCTGGGAAATTTGAGAGTTGTAATCGTGGCGCAGCGGCTTAATGACGCTGAAAGTTGCCAGCCAGAAATGGTTGACGCTTCAGCGGTTCGAATCCAGCCTTCACGTTAAACAGGGTGAGCGCCTATTTCCTCCCCAGTTCCTGTCAAC